TATTTTCCCGCCCCGCCCTTCTCCTCCAAATGAGGGGTGGCGGGGCCATTGCTGACGTTGCTCGTTTGCGGCAATGTGTGTTCTTAGGTGGAAACGCGCGCGCCCCCTTCTCGTTTCGGGCCGGGCGTTATCATGCACGCGCATTCACCTACTAGTGTGGCGCATTCCCTTAACGGACACCGAAGCCACGGCGTCAAGCATTACATCGCCGAGGCGTAACCTGATACTGTTATTGGGAGAGAATCCATCTGAACATATGGAACAAGACCCTATCAACCGAATCAAGATGATACCTGAATCCATGATGAATAGGCAAAGTGCTGGCTGTGGAGGTCCTGTCCAGGGTCAGCAGGCCCGTAGAAACCTTTTTCAATGTGCATTGAGCTTGGTAAGCGCCTTCTGTCGCGCAGGGGCCCCCCCACTTTCCACCAGCGCATCGGGTGCACGCCTGGATGGGTCAAGTCCTTCTGGGTCCGTTTGTGCCAGACAGAGCTGTACTCCCAGTCGTAGGTCTCGACATATAAATGCGTGTCATGTAACAGGGGTCCTTGCAGAACACGACCCTCATCTGAGTCATTCTTGTTCTGCTGGTCAGGGGCCAGGGCTGCGATGGTTCCTCCAACGTCTTTCCAACGGTCACCACCTCTCGTTCGTAATACTTGCCCGCTGCCACGTTCTGGATCGCCCATGCCATTCTTGCTCTGGCTTCGGTTCCCCACGTTCCGGGGCGGCCAGGAAATCCTTCTCACGAGCTGCCCAGCGTGTCTCATGCAGTGGCCCCGATGCACTTCCACGAGGACCGACACACGTATGCTTGGTGCAGTGGCGTCGGGGACGAGGAAGCCGAACGGCTGGCCTCTCTGATAGCTGGTTCAGCGCGGCACAGCCCGGTGGACGTACTCAGCTCGGGAGGATGGGTGGAGGCGAAGTTCGTTGTCAAGATGATCCAGGGCGAGGGCTACGACAGAGCTTGGGCGCGCTTTTTGCACGCCCTGGCTATGTTGCCCAATGACACAGCACATGCCCTCGGCGTCAAGACTGTTGAAGACGACGAAAACGCCGTAGACAAGCCGCCCACCTGGAACAAGAGCTTCGGGCGGAAGCGGCCGTCTGGTGACTGTGTCACCTGCGGCCGCGAGATAGAGCGGCCCAAGACTAAGCCACTGCTGATTCGCGCTTGCAGAGGCCGTTCACTCCGAGTCATATCGCCCGAACGGCTCTACGTCAGGTACGAGCCGTCAGACAGGCGTCGGCCCGGGGAAATCGTTGCCCCGCTCGACATCACCTCCGCGATCCAGTCAATGGCTGGAAAGGTGATTGCCCCACAGAAAGACATCAGTGGGACGAGACAATACAGGTTCCTCAACGCCCTTTCCACTCACAGAGCAAATTGCCCGACGACTGCGTCGTCGAAGCCAGGGAAGACGCAGCCGACGGAGCGGTCGACCTGGTCCGTCGGGGCCTCGAGATGCTGCGCAGCGATCACCCCGATCATTTTCCTCGCTGGCTTCGGCCAAATGGGTGGTCGAAAGACTACAGTGCACAAGGCCTTGATGCCAGCGTCTTCAACTGGGACAATCCGCATGCTCTGTCGGGCTAATATCTCGCGACATTTTCATCGCGGATCTTCGGCGCGTCTGCATTTAGGGTCTTCCCCGATGGCTCGCTTGCTGCGGAGTTCCGTCCCAATTGGAGCGATGCGCATCAAACCTTCAGAGTCGCCGTCGTCGGCGTCGTGGCCCCTGCAGAGTCGTGGACCTCGGTTAATGATCGGCGGTGTCGCAGGGTCAGGGTCGACACAGGACCGAGGTCTGGTTGCATCGACTGGATGGGGCCGCGTCGGTTTTTCCGCCAGAGTCCAGGTGACAGCGACGACGCCCATTCGCCGGCGGAGCTCACAGAAAGGCTGATCCATTGGATGACGGATGCCTCGTCTGTTCTGAAGCGCGCAAGAACCGCCTAGGGATACTCCGGCGCTTCCATTGTCGGGCGCCTGCGTTCTTCTTCCCAGAGATACAGGCGCCCAGCTTGATGGCTCAAATCTCGGGACACGCGGTCCCAGCCCGGAGCCGAAGCAGCGACATTTCGACGCAACCAGGCCTCGCGAGGCAAGACGACGCTCCAGCATGGCCTCATGGCCACTCTTCGCATGGCGCCCAACATCGCGCGAGGACGCGGCTGCTACAGAAACGCCCACTGACAAAGAAGGCGCAGAAACTGTCAGGAGGGGAAAAAACACACAGACACAATTAATCGTCGACTCCCAGGAAAATATGCAAAAATATGGGAAGTGGTGGGGAAGACAAAAACCTCAATAATATAGGAAAATATGGGGAATCGTTTTATTTGTGTGTATTTATTTGTGTGTCCTGGGGCCCCTTCAAACTGGGCAGGCACTGCATCTATGTCCAGGCGTGCGCCGGCACTCCTGCCGCTGGCCCGAGTGCGGTTGCGCATGCCAGAGGATGTCGGGGGTGGACAGAACCCCCAACAGTGACACGTCGATTGGTGAATTGTCCGTTTGCGGTTCTCGAGAGGGCGCCGTGGCCGTTATTTTCCAGGCTTGCGCCCGCCAGGTTTTGGCCTCAGGTCGTCTTCACTAAACCACGTTTTACTAAAGGGGGGTCTGTCCATCCCCGAGGATGGTGGCCATGCGTGAGCGGGAGGCTGGCTCTCCAGGGGGAGGATATTTCCATTCTCGATCCGTTCGACGGGGACTAAGATCGCCGCTCTGATGCCGATGATGCGGAACCGTCGGTTGGCCGGAGGCAGCGGCCAGCCGCGACGGGTCGCCCCGAATGGTCCCCCGCGCCCGCGGGCCTGAAGACGGAGATGGGCCAAGGGCTGGTGGAATATGGGGGGCCGCAGGACGACGTCAACCCTGCGGCGACAAATGAGGGGGGCCCGGCATCTGCCGACTGTGTCGGCAGTGCCAGAGGCCCTGGCGCTCGCGGCAAGCAGGGCGGCAAGCGCCCGGAATCTGCCCAGCCCCGGGGCTGGCCCATCGCGGCGCGCGCGCCCGCTGGAGCCGCTGGCGAGGGGCAAGGAGGCGCCAAGAACCGGCGACTGAAGTGTCGCGGAAGTCAGGAACCACAGGTTCGACGAGCTGCACTTCGCCGCCGAGGCGGAGCCAACGCAATGGGAACTACATGACAGACCATCGTTGTCGGCTGCAGCGTCGTCAGGTTCTGGCCCTGGGCCCCCGGCGGAGAAGTGCCAGTATGCGGATGCCCGACTGAGGGCCGCGGAGGAGGTTGAAACCCGCGCGCCCTCCATGGCGCCATGACTTTCAGATCCAATGGGCGTCGAGGAGCTCGGGGCGAGGCTCGGGCGACTGGCGGGGCTGGAACAGCAGCTGGGGCCGCGGCGACCAAAGGCGCGAGGATAGGCGCTGGTGAGAGGTAGTGATTGGATTGGGGGGCGTACTGGAGCTGTGCTCCTAGCGTTCCCCCGAAAGCCTTGGAGCTGTGCTCCGAGCGTTCCGGCGCGGGACGAAGCGCGGCGGCAGGCCACAGTGGCCCTATAAGCCGATCGCCGGGCGGCGGGCGCGCTAGCGCGCCCCCTTCCACGTGGGACCTGCCGGCCCTTTTCGGCTTGTCCCGAAGAGCCGTGTCAGGTGCGCTCACTTCCCTGTTGATGACGCCGTGGGAGCGCTTTTTGCGGTTGGCGCTGCCGGGGCCGAGGTGCCCTGGGGAGGGGGTCAAGGCTGACGTCGGCACTCGGGACGCGCCGAAACCAGGCTCGCGCGCCCCACCGTCGCTCGGGGCGTCAGCTGAAGGCTGGCGCCCACCCGCGCGCGGCAATGCCGTGCCGGGGCGGTCGCGGGGGGAGCAATTATTGACGCTCGCCTCGCTATATTTTCCTGCCCCAGCTTCCCCCTCCAAATGAGGGATGGCGGAGCATTTGCTGACGTTGCGCGTTTGCAGCCATTTGTGCTCGTAGGTGCCGAAGAAAAACGCGCGCGCCCCCCTTGCCCCGGGTCGGGCGCTCTCGCGCACGCGTGTTCACACACTACTGTAGCATATTCGCTTAACGGACACAAGAGCTATGGCGTCAAACACTACGTCGCGGAGGCGTAGCCTGATACCATCGTTGGAAGAATATCAATCTGAGCACACTGAACAAGAGCCTATCAGCTGGATCAAGATGATGCCTGAATCCACGATGTCACATGCCATTCGCATGTGAGTACTACTATCCTCTCTCCCCTGTCTTTGTGCGAGCAGGTCGCCTTTCATTTTTAGTTCTTTTCACATAAGAGTTCAAACGTAGATTTGTTTTTGTTCCATAGGAGCGTTATTGGTGTTTCAAAACGGTGTTCCCGCTGCAGTATTCGCCTCATCTCATACATTGCTCCGTCCCCATCGCGGGGTGCACTTCTGGATCCGAGTTCTTCCTAGCCGCTGTCGCCCCCAAATTGTCCCACCTTCTCCTTCCCTGGTCCTCCTGTTCCTCCCGTTCTTCCTGCTCTTGCTGTTGCTGCTGTTCTTCCTCCTCCTTTTCCTCCTCCTCTTCCTCCTCTTCCTCTGTTAACTCCTCGGTCCTCATCATAATGTGTTGTTTCTTGCCCCCTCAAAACTGCTTCTCTTGCTCATCCGCCACCTCCACCTCTTCCTCCACTGTACGCAGCTCGCCTGTCTGCGTGCACATCATAACACGATGGAGCCGCAGGGGGGGTTCCAGGTCAGTTATGACAACCGTCGGAGGATAGAAACATGATCAGCACAATGGTGAGACATGTGTGGGAGGGGTCGGGATGTCAGATGTGGCGCGAACGCACCTGGCCTCATCCCCCGCCCCCTCCTCCCCCTCCTCATTTCTGTCCTTCGCGGCCAGTTTTCCCTTTTTCGTCAGCCCTTCAAGCGATTCAGTCGGTTTTTCTCAAGTTTTCCCATGTTAGAGCTCTGATTGAGAACGGGTCGAACGCCCATTCCACCGTCCGTCCGCCGCCGCCGCTTCCTCATCTCCATTCTCCTCGTCCTCGCCTTCGCCGTGGCCAGGAGGATCTAGCGCTTCTTCTGCGGGACATGGGCCGCCACAGCGAGGCAGAGCCCTTGTTGCGGCGCGTGCTGGAGGTGAGCGTGGGGTGGAAGCCAGAAAGGAGGCGGAGGAGGATGGATAGAGAGGAGGAGCGGAGGGAGGTGGGTGAGAAGGGAGGGAGTACGGTAGGTTCCCGTCGTGTCGGCTGGCGGCGACCCGATGGCGATTCAAAATCGGTCGATGGCGAACGATCTGACGTTTCGGAAACGGCCGATCGTCCAAGGTTAAACGATCCCCGCGGTGTAAGGGACCAGCGCTGGGGTCGACATGGCACGAACCTGCTGCAAGAGGAAGGAGGGAGCCAGGAGGAGAAAGGGAGGGAGGGGGAGGGAGGGAAGGAGGAGGAGGAGTCCGGAGGAGGGAGGAAGTGGGGAAGGGGGAGGAGTGAGGAGGGAGGGGGGAGGGAAGGAGGAGGGAGCCAGGAAGAGGGAGGGAGGGAGGGGGTGGGGGGGAGGGAAGGAGGAGGAGGAGGAGGAGGAGAAGGAGAATGAGGAGGACCAGTGTAAACCCAAGAGTCACCAACGATGTTGGAATAAGCCTTCCCCCCAAGTTCCCTCTTCATAGGCCCCTGCAGCGGTTCATTTCCACAGAGGGACCTGCCTCGTTCGAAGACATCCGTTTGAAGACCCTGAAGCATGCCAAAACATTGTTCTCGGCACTCCAACGCCACAGATCAACCTGACTGTAGCGTCTTGACGATCCTGAATCGTGCCAGAACGTCATTCCTGGGACTTCAACACCGCGAATCATCGTATCGTATCTGTTGCGCCCCCATGGTCGTGAATCCTTCCAAAACATAAATTCTGGTACGTCGATCATGGGAATCCGGGAAACACATGCAATTACTTAGCAAGAGTGCACGCGGCGCTAGGGCGAGAGCCACATTTTGAATTGGAATCGCCCTCAATCCGTGAAACTCTTGCAAAGTTTGAAAACGAATGTGCGCGGCGCTAAGGCGATAGCCGCATTTTGAAAACCACCCACCCTCAATCCGTGAAACTTTTTTACACATTTGGAAAACGAATGTGTGTGGCGCTAAGGCGAGAGCCACATTCTGAAAGCGACCCGCCATCAATCCGTGAAACAGTTGCAAGTGTTGAAAACGAATATGCGCGGCGCTAAGGCGAGAGCCACATTTTGAAAACGACCCGCCCTCAACCCGCGAAACTCTTACAATTCTTTTAAACGAATGTGCGCGGTGCTAAGGCGATAGCTGCATTTTGAAAACCACTCGCCCTCAATCCGTGAAGCTCTTGCAATTGTCTTCAACGAATTTGCGCGGCGCTAAGGCGAGAGCCACATTTTGAAAACCACCCGCCCTCCATCTGTGAAGCTGTTGCTGGTGCCAAGTTTTAAGCTTCAGGGTCATACCTGGTGAGGAAGTCTCAGGCGAAACGTCTGGCCCGCCCTTGAAACTGGCTTCGGGGTGCGACAGGGAGAAGCTGTTTATAAGGAGAAGGAATGGAGGAGGAGGAGCAGGAGGCTGATGCAAGCCAGGACGCCCCCGCTGCAGGGGCACTCGCGCGCGGCGCCATGTCTCCCCTGCTTGGCTTTACCCAGGGGCTCTGACTGGCTCTGTGCAAGGGCCAGCGTCGACTGAGGGGTGCGCCACCATGCGGTCCGATGCTGTCGTGCGCGGGCGCGGGGGGCGCGCTCGCCCCGCCTCTCGTTCCGCGCGCACAGGTGCGAAATTTGAATCGGCTTGCGCCGCGCCTTTCCCCGCCGGCCACCCAGGCCGTTGCGCCTGTCCATCGCAACGCAAACGGTGCTTCGCTATGCAGTGCAACGCTGAGAGATGTCATGCTGTGCTGTGCGTCTGCTGCCCGTAAGGTGTCCATGCTTTGCCAAGCGGTACACAGATCTGATACGCTATGGTTTGCAGTGCTACGCAATGATGTGCGGCGTTTGCAGAGCGATGCGATGATACGCTGCGCTAAGCCACGCAATGCTGCGTCATGCAATGTAATGCTACAGCTTGACAATGCTGGTAAACTACAATGCAGTAGTTGACGTTGCTATGCCATGCTGCGTCATGATTGCTGTGCGATGCGATGGTAAAACTATGCCATAGTACTTACACTGAGTCATGCGATGTCATGTTTCGCAATGCTACGCAGTGCTGTGCTTGTCAACGCAGTGCAACGCTATGCCATGATGTTCTCGGCTGTGCTGCCACCCATCGCTTTCATATGCTATGAGTCGCACTGCATCTCGTGGCAGTGCACTGCACGTGTATGCCTTCGAGGGGGGAACTCCCCCGATTGGGGTTGCGCCTGGCGCACTTCTTTTCGAGAGGGACGGTCGCCGCTGGCGGGGGTAGGATTGGGACAACTCTCCCCAGAGCGCCCCGGACCAGAGCCCTCTGGAGCGGCCGCATCGCCCGATACATCGTCCAGAACCGCCAGATGCCAGAGCTCTCCGATTCATCAAGGAGGGCTCAGTGCATCGGCAGTGGGGGGGAGGGAGGAGGAATGGAGGGAGTGAGTGAGGCAGTGAGGGAGCGAGGGAGGAGGAGGAGGAGGAGGAGGAGAAGGAGGAGAAGGACGAGGAGGAGGAGGTTGATGAGGAGGAGGAGGAGGAGGAGGAGGAGGAGGAGGAGGAGGAGGAGGTTGAGGTTGAGGAGTAGGAGGAGGAGGAGGAGGAGGAGGTTGAGGAGGTGGAGGAGGTTCGGCTGGTCACCCGCGGGGCCGCGCAGACAACCAGTGCCTCGCGCTTCGCGGCCTGTTCTCCAGGGGGCGGTAATGCGCGGGGGCTCGAAGATAAGCAGCCCGCGCTTCGCGCAGCGTGATGCGCAGGGCAGAGGGGCGTGGCATCGCAAGGAGGGGAGGGCCTTTCAGGGGCAACGTTCGAGGGGGGGATCGGCTCACGGGAGGGCGAAGTTTCGAGGTGTAAGGTTTCAGGTTTTCGGTTGTTTGCGTCCGCTCTCGGCGGCTTTTCAGCTTCGGCTGCGCCTCGCCGAGAGCGTTCCGGGGGTGCCCGGATCGTCCCGAACGGCTTCTGGTGAGCCGAGCGATGATCCGAAAACCAAATACGGTTACGACAGAGTGGGGTCTGGCTCAGGGAAGGACGCATCGACCCCCAATCGCCCATTCTTCCACGATTGGGGTCCGATGGCCCATCCCCGCCCAGGAGCGTGCGGATGCGCTATCGGGGGCCTGTCGCCAATCTATCGGCTATGTATCGCCGATCCAAGCTCGATGTTTCCCCCTTGAGCGGGTCCCCTCCTATCGTTGCCCGTCACATCGGAAGGGAGGGAGGACCTTAGAGGCCGAGGTTCCCAGAGAGTCTCTGTCTGAACGAGACCTGGATGCTCTCGGGCCCAGGTCTTTCCCATCAGCTGTAATCCCACCAGAGCCTTCCTGTGGCACCTGGGCTCGTTCCGAACTTCCCTGTGGGGCCCGAAGAGCACAAGGAGACATTGGGGCTTTGCGGGGAGACCACAGCGGGCAGTTCTGCCCCAAACTGGCGCGCAATGCAGCCGTTTTTGTATTAATCTCTCTTTCTCTCTTTCTGCAGCCGTTTGTGTGTTTATTGTCGTTTATTTGTTACGGTCTCTCTCTCTCTCTCACTCTCTCTCTCTCTCTCTCTCTCTCTCTCTTGTTCTATATATATATATATATATCGTTCTCTTTCTCTCTCTTTCTTTCGTTTGTTTCCCCCCCCTCTCTCTCTCGTTCTCTCTTCCTCTTGTTTTCTTGTGTTTGTTCTCTCTCTCTCTCTCTCTCTCTCTCTAGCGCTCCTCCACAGAAGGCAGCTACTCACCATCACCACCACCACCACCACCACCACCACCACCACCACCACCACCACCACCACCACCACCACCACCACCACCACCACCACCACCACCACCACCACCACCACCACCACCACCACCACCACCACCACCCCTAGCCAGGGCCATGCTGGGCCCTGGGGTAGCGTGGAGACCCTCTTGGTCGGGGCCAGGAGCCTGTACACCCCACCCCACGCCACCCCCACGCTTCTCGGGGCCCTCGCGGGTCGGCACAGCTGGAGGTGGCTCGAGGGACGCACTGCAGAGGCGGGGCCCGAGGGCCCCGGCCCCCTCCTGGTCAGGAGGAGAAAAAGCACACCGACACAATGAATCGTCGATTCCCGAGAAAATATGGGAAGCGGGGGGGAATACAAAAACCCAGAAGATATAGGGAAAATGTGGGGAATCCTGGGCTTTGTGTGTGCACTCGTTTGTGTGTCCATGGGCCCCTTCCTCTGGGGGCGCCAGCTGTCCACCGACCCTGTCCGGGCCAGTCCCCGTGGCAAAGAGGGATGCAGCAAAACCCGTGGCCTCTTCCCTTGTCGGGGGCGGCAAAGAGGGGCAAAACGACGAGGAGATCGGGACAAAATCGGATCGGGATAACTCGAAATCTCTGAGAATCGGCGGGTTTGGAGGATGTATTGGGCGCCGCGGCCGCTCCAGAGCGTTCCGGAACGCTCTGAGAGCGCTCTGGAACGCTCTGGAGCGATTTATCCCGATCCTAGCCCTGTTTTAAGGGGGGGGGATGACTGGGGGGGGGTTCATGGCGTGGGCCATGATATTTCCCCAGGTTTCATGGCGCCCTTCTTACTTCATTGCGTCCCTGGCCCCCCCCCCTTGGGCCCTTGGGCCGCGCACATGCCGCCGGCCATGATCTGCACCTTCCTCTTGGGCACCCCCCTCTTGGCCGCCCCCGACCTTGGCATGGTGTACCCGATCTCACGTTGGCACCCGTTGTGATGTTCCACCGGGCGCGGCCGCAAAAGCAGCCACGTTTTGTCGGCTGGAATATGTTGCTCATTCAGGTTGCCTTCGTTGGAGGACAGAAAGGGACCCGTGGCTTCTCTGCTCGAGGCTGTGGCGTTCCGCCGCTGGCTCCTGGCAGTCTGTGCTTCGCGGCGGCGGGAAGTCAGCAAGGTCACAATCGGACCAAGGTATAAGATCGAGGCCGGCTTGGGGAGGGAGCCCTAATGTTCATCGTGTTCGTTGGATGTTCTTGTGCATCCTGGGGGAGGGTACCCTCGAATGCTCCTTCATTGTGGCTGGCGTGAGGTCTCATGTTCTTGGGGGATGTTCTTCTGTCCTGGGTCCGACTGTGCGAGAAGCAAGCGGGCGACGGTGAACGCGTTGGCGGGAGGCCATGGCCGGCGAGACAAAGCAGGCGGGCGGGCAGGCGGGCGGGCACGCGGGAAGGGCAAGCAGGAGGACCAGTGGTCGGGTGGATACGGACTGCTCGGGCCAGCTCCAGTCGACAGGCCCAGGAGGGCGCGCCCACCGATCCAGGGGCCCAGGGCTGGCCCAGGCCTGGGCCGGTGTAGGTGTTCAGTCTCAGGTCTGAGGGTGCAGCTGCACCGAGGTATGAGATCGAGGTCGGTTCGGGGAGGGTACCCCAAGGCTGCAAGGATCGCTGCCAGTGTTGTGGCCTCCGCGCGGCGTCCCCCCAATGATCCCCCCGTGCGTCCTCGCGCCCATCCCCGTCGTCCTCCTCGTCATCCCTGCGTCCATCCCCTCGTCTCGACAGGTATCCTCACCACTTTGGGGGATTGGATGCTGAGATGACAGTCCGAATGCTGGGGGCGAACCTTGAGATGACCTTTCGGGCGACGGGGAGGGATGTCGGTGCATCCTCGGGATGGAACCCTTGGATGCTCTGTTTGTTTTGGCCGGCGGAGGGTCTCATGTTCTTGAGGGATGCTCTTTTGGCCCAGGGCCGACTGTAGGTCAACCTGTCTATCGCGTTGATGCTTGGAGATGGAGCCGGCTGGGGGTCTGCGGTGGCCCAGCGTTGGTTCTGGCCAGCAGGAAGGGGGGGGCGAGGTTCGAGCTTTTTGGCTTTGAGAAGGTTGTTTACTTTTTCGTCCTCGGAGACGTTTTCGGGCTCCAGGACCGTCAAAAACAGGTGATGAAACATTGCACCAGATGGGCCTGGGTCTGGAGACCGGTTTTGATTGGATTTGCCTTCACCCCCCTTCTTCTGACCTGTTTCCTCGGGGCCCAACTAGCTCAGACCCCCTTGTCCCCTCCAACCTTCGTGTCCTGTCTATCGCGTTTCGTCTTACTTTGATGTCTGGAGCACCGTTTGCTCCTGGAAGAGGGCGTGTCCTCTCATGTGCCCTTTGCACCCAATTCCGGCCGTCTTCTTGGCGTTCTGCCAGGGGGTGCTGGGCTGTAGCAGCCGACGGGGATGCTTTGAAAATCTTAGGCATGTCCAAGGCTGCATCGAAAGAGGTAGTGTACGCCACATCAAGCGATCAACTAATCATGTTGCAGTAGAGCTGAAACTGGATCCATTTGGGGCGTTTCCTGTAAGGTCAGTGTGATGCAACAGCTGAAGTTAATGAACAACGCAGGAGTTTGGTGACGCCAAAGCTGCTGCGCAATCCTGAGCGAAGGTTGCAGCTGAGCTAGCGTCTAGCGTTAAGACAAACGCCGAGGCCTTCTGTCATATAAATTCAAGGTGATGCGACAGTTCTCAAAAACCTCAGGTGCATCTTCAGCTAAAGCAAAGCAACTACTGAGACAAGGCTAGGTTTAAATTTGAATGCGAACATTGAGCTCGTTGTGAATCTTGAGTGAGCACTGACGCTAATTCCGCAGCAATCGCGAATCATCGGTTTATACTTAAAGAGTGATGGCGCGATGTTTGATTCGAGATTTTGATGTACCTAGCTTTGAAAGAGCGTGTTCTACCGCTGCTGGCGGAAAACCGGGGGGGGTCACTACCGGTTCGAACCCCTCCCCCCCCCCCTCCAGAAAACGGAAAACCGGGGGGGGTCACTACCGGTTCGAACCCCTCCCCCCCCCGCAGTTCATCATGAAAAGGGGGGGGGTCACATCATGAAAAGGGGGGGGGTCACTACCGGTTCGAACCCCCCCTCCCTCCCCCCCTCGAAAACCGGGGGGGGGTCACTACCGGTTCGAACCCCCCCCCCCCCCTCGAAAACCGAGTGAGGGTGCGGACAGTGGTGGGGACGGTGGTGGTGGGGACAGTGGTGAGGGGACAGCGGGACAGTGGTGGGGACAGTGGGACAGTGGTGGGGACGGTAGTGGTGGGGACAGTGGTGAGGACAATGGTGGGAACAGTGGGGACAGTGGACAGTGGTGGGGACGGTGGTGGTGGGGACGGTGGTGTGGGGACAGTGGGAATGAGGTGGAAACAGTGGGACAGTGGAGGGTACAGTGGTGGTGGGGACAGTGGTGAAGGCGGTGGCGAGGACGGCGGTGGGACAATGGGACAGAGGTACAGTGGGGACAGTGGTGGGGACAGTGGGGACAGTGGTGGGAACAGTGGGACAGCTCAGTGGGACAGCGGAGGAGTCAGTGGGACAGTGGGGACAGTGGGGATAGTCGGGCAGTGGTTGGGGCCGTGGAGAAAGTGGGGAGAGTGGAACCGTGGTGGGAACAGTGGTGGGGACAGTGGGGACAGTGCGACAGTGGTGGGGGCACTGGTGGGGACAGTAGGGACGGTGGTGGAACCAGTGGGGACAGTGGTGGTGAGGACAGTGGTGCTGGGAACAACAGTGGGGGATGTGATGCGGACGGTGGTAGGGACCGGGAGTCGTTTGCTGGCGGTGAGTGGGGGGGTGGGGAGGGGTTCGAACCGGTAGTGACCCCCCCTCCGGTTTTCGAGGGGGGGGGTTCGAACCGGTAGTGAGCCCCCCGGTTTTCGAGGGGAGGGGGGGGGGGAGGGGGAGGGGAGGGGTTTTGCCGGGGGAGGGGGGGGGGGGGTCCAGCAGGGGGGGTGGATTTTCGGGAGGGGGGGGGACCCCCGGGTTCCAGAGGAAGAGGGGGGCAATTTTCCTTAGTAAAGCGGCGGTGGATCACGCTCTCTCCTAGATTTGCATCAAGCATGAAGGCCTGGCCAAACGCTCTATAAGCATCGCTGCGTCAAGCGACACCGACAGCTAAAGCGAGAACAGGTTTCCAATACCAAGCCAGGCATCAAGGACAAGCTAAAGCTAAGGTCACCAAGCAGCCACTGAAACCGCCGACTACGAGCTAAATGGGAATCCCAGTTTAGAGCTAGATGTGATGCTAGACACACTGATGCGATACATCTTAAGCTCCAGGTGCATGCACAGCTAAACCTTCAGCTGCAGCGAAACCGGAAGCTTCATTCGAGTCAAAATCTCAGGCTGCAGGAAAGCTAATGCTATAGCCAAAGGAGCGACCCGAACGATTCGATTGTCCAGGCGATTCGAGCGTATAATGGGGAGTTGGCGCATAGACCTCGTGGGCAGCGCATCGATGTTCCAGTGGCTTCGAGACTCGAGGATCGATGGTCTCGGATGTCTTTGGTTGTTTTCGGGCCTCCGCGAGCATCCGGAGGAGTAGGGCGTTGGAGGGACGATAAACGGTGGGTGAAGAAATGTGCACTGTTTGCGCACCGTCGAGGCCCCTAAAGGAACTCTCGGTGGTCCCAAAGGCAGAGGAAACGGTGTACAGTTCTTCACCCCCCCAGTAAGCAACGCCAAGCGATCTCTTGGAAGGTCGAGTCGAAGTTTGGACGCCCGTGCACAACGTTTGGGGGCCTGGCATGCTGCCCGTGCCGCGGCGCGGGAGCGCGAAGCTGACCGCGCTTGGCGCTCCGCGCTGCGTGAAGTCAGGCGGCCTACCGCCAACATGTTGAGCTGAGGACCACTTTGGGCTCGGGAGGGGCCCCGGTTCTCGGGCCGTTCCGTGGATCTGGGTTGAGGACCTCGCCGTGGCCTCAGAAGCTCCGCCGTTCCTTACAGCGGAGGCCAGTCCGCAAGAACCACACGAAACCCAACCCTGAGGCCCCAGGACGTCCATTGATTTTGGCTGTGGGAGCGCCACGCCTTCCATCGCAAAACCATCGAAACCCAAGAAACCCAGGGCACCCTGGAGGCAAGCAGGGTGTTTCTTGGCATGGGTCATGGTCTCAGCTCGCCCAGGGCTCTGAGGATTCTGGGCCCCCCCTGCGGGTGGGGACTGGACGGGACGGGTGGTGTTTCCAAGAGCCTCGCATCCGAGAACAGTGCTGTAGTCTTCGCCGCCCAGGTCAGGGAGGCGTCGCTGGGAGCGGGGCACCCAGACTCGCTGGCCACCGCGATGAAGATGGGGGAGCTGCTGTGCAGGTCGAGGCTGGGAAGTCGAATCTGTCCTTCGGGGTCCCAACTCCCGCGGGAGAGGAGGACGGGGACAGAGAGAGAAAGAGAAGGAGGAGGAGGAGGAGGAGGAGGGAAGGAGAAGAAGGAGGAGGAGGAAAAGGAGGACGGAGAGGGGCAGGAATACGAGCTAATTAGTTGCTTTCGTGCCATGTCTTACATCTTATCTCTCTTTGCCATCCCTTCCCACTGCGTTCATGGAGGAGGATCGGGAGAGGGAGGAGGAGGAGGGGGAGGAGGAAGAAGAGGAGGAGGAGAAGGAGGAGGAGGAGGCGGGAGGAGGAGGAGGACCAGTGTAAGCCCAAGACTCATCAGCGATGTTGGAATCAACCCTCTCTACGAGCTACTTCTCCATAGGCCTCTACAGGGGTTCATTTCCAATGACTGAACTGCTTCATTGGGAGACAACCGTTTGAAGACCCTGAAGCATGCCGAAACACCGCTCTCGGGACTCCAACGGCGCGGATCAACCTGACTGCTGCGTCCTGACGATCCTGAACCGTGCCAGAGCGCCATTCCTGGGACTTCAACACCGCGAGCCAACGGAACTGTTGCACCCTCACAGTCCTGAGTCCTCCCAAACACCATTTCCGGTAAATTGACAATGGAAATCCTTGAAATTCTTGCACCTGTTTAAAACGAATGCGCGCGGCGCTAAGGCGAGAGCCACAGTTTGAAAGCCATCAATCCGTGAAGCCCTTTCAAATGTTCAAGACGAAGGTGCGTGGCCCTCAGACGAGAGCCACATGTTGAAAACGAACCGCTCTCAAACCGTGAAGCTCTTGTAATTGTTTAAGACGAATGTGCGCGGCGCTGAGGCGAGAGCCACATTTTGAAAACCGCCCGCCCTCAATCAGTGAAACACGAATGTGCGCGGCGCCAAGGCGAGAGCCACATTTTGAAAACCGCCCGCCCTCAATCAGTGAAGCTGTTGCCAATGTTGAAGCTTCAGGGCCATAGCGGTGAGGAGGTCTCAGGCGAAACGTCCAGCTCGCCCTTTCGACAAGCCGCGGGGTGCGACAGGGAATTTGTTGTAAGGGAAATGACTGGAGGAGGAGGAGGAGGAGGAGGAGGACGAGGAGGAGGAGAAGGAGTAGGAAAAAGAGGAGGAGGAGGAGGAAGAGAGGGAGGAGGAGGAGAGAAGGATAATGGCGAGGAAGAGGAGATGCAGGAGGATGACGAGGAGGGCCTGCGGGCTTCCCCCGCAGCTACAATCCTCGTCCTCATTCTCCGCATCATCACTGTAATTCTCCACCTTCTGGATCGCCTCGCGTGACACATCGTACCCGCGGCGTTTGCAAGTCAAAACGGTCTTCCTCCGTCTCCGTCTCCTCCTCCTCCTCCTCGTCTTCCTCCTCCGTAGCCATTTTGGCTCAAGATGTTTAGTTCCTCAGAGGAACAAGTGGATACCGCTAGTCCGCGGCAGGCAAGACCCTTTATGGTCTGACAGAGCTTGTTCATCGCACCGACGCTCGCCCCCACGGGTAAACGGAGGCTTTTCCCGTTCCTGTGCGCGCGAACGTTTCATTCGTGCTCATGGGGCCTGCTGTTGGCGAGGACAGACGCGAGAGGAAGGAGAAGAAAGCCGCCAAGGACAGGAAGTCGTCCAAGGCGGCCAAGAGTGAGGGGACTCCTGGGCGGCGCGCTCGGGCTCGCGCTCCGACTCCTGTTGATGATGATGATGTTGGTATTTTTCCAGTGCCACTCGCTACGACGCCCCCGGTCACTCCCCGACATCAACGGAAAGTGCGCGACCCGTCCTCTCGACGCTCCAAGCGTTCTCCTGGACGTGGTGCAGGCGGATCCCCTGGGCGGCGCTCCCGCAGTGGCCATGGCGACTCTTCTGGAGGATCTACTGCCGCTGCGCGACGGGCTGCAGGCTCGGCTGCACGGGCGGAGCTCGAGGGTCGCGTCCAAGAGCCTGCTGGGGCGACCCCTACGCTTCCATCGCAGGAGCCTGCTGGCGCCCCTGGCCGTGCTGGTGATGGCGCTCTCGGCGCCTTGGATGGCCTCTCGCAGTTCGCCACCTTCCCGTCGCAGGAGTCGCGCGGGACCTCCGCAGCGGCTGGCACGGCTCCTCCGTCGCCCATGGCATTCGAGATCCACACGCCCATCGTGGGTGGCATGGGTGGCGCCTCTCTGCCTGCTGCTCCCACCCCTGGTGGTGCTGGCAGCGCTACAGGGAAGGGCGGGGGTGCTGCGGGCGATCCCTGGGCTGGCGCCGCCGCTGCTTGGCAGGTGGAGGCGTTGCACCGTGAGCTGTTCGCCGACTTCCAGCAGTCTTGTATGGATCAGGTGTCTGCTATCTGCGTCGAGTCGTTGCAGAAGAGCCTCCCTGGCGCCCTCGCTGCAGCGACGACGCCGATGTTCAAGAAGTTCGATGCGAAAGTCTCCCAGCTCTTCAGCCAGCTCACGGAGCAGGTCTCTGCGACCAACTCCCGCGTGGACGCGATGGAGGGTGCCCAGCGCGAGCTGCTGCGGCGCCTAGAGCGGTTGGAGGGTGAGCTGGACTTGGCCAAGCACGCGCCACCGCGGGTGGCGTTGCAGCGCACTGCTGATTGGGATCGCGAGATTGACTCGAGCATCTTCACGATCACGGCGAAGGAAGAGGTCGGTGTGAGCATGGTCGCGGACGCCATCAAGGAGTGGCTCGACGCCTGCTCCTACGCGCTCGGGCAAGAGCGCAGGCTCGAGGGCCCGCAGCTCGGCCGTCAGTTCGCGCTGCGCATGGCCCCCTGGAGGCGACCATCTTGGCGAGGATGCGGCCCTGTCAGGCGGCTCTGCGTCTTAGCCCTGGTGCATGGCGCAGGTTCCAGGCAGTGGGGCCTGGGCAGCGCCCCGTGGAGCTGTACGTCGGCCGTGATAAGAACCGGTGTGGTATCGCCCGTGAGAAGGCCTGTCACCAGCTGCGCATCGCCTTTGAGAACGCGTTCCCCTTGCCGCGACGGGCGTTCGTGGACAGAGACGCAGGCGTTCTCACCTACCAGTGGGAGCCGATGGCCAAGATCGAGGTGTCGCCGCACGAGCCGCCCGTCATCAAGTGGAACAAGAACTGCATCGTGGACATGGGCTTGGACTACGCCCGCGTCATGGAGGTCGGGAAGGCTTGCTTTGCTCCGAAGAAGGTTGAGTGGTGCGGGTAGCAACTGGCTTGACGGGCGCGTCGTGCAGTATGTCTCCTGGAACGCCGGTGCGTTGTGCCACTACGATGCGCCTGCTGTCAGACGTCGTCTCCGTGCACTGACTGCACTGGCCACGCCCCAGGCTATTGTTTGCCTGCAGGAGACCCATGGCTCACGTGACGCGGTCGCTGAAGCGTGTCAGAGAGCTGGGGTGTCTCATCAAGTTTTTAGTTCGCATGCTGAGGAATCTTATACGGGGGGAGTGGCCACTCTTATTCCGTCGGGTCCCTGGGCCGAGCAACATCTTTCAATGGTCCCTAAGGAGGTTTTGGTCGGGCGTGTTTTAATGCTTTAAATCACCTCCCCAACTTTTTGCCTGTTCCATTGGAACGTACATAACGTTGATATCCCAGCGGAGGTTCTGCGCGAGATTTTGGAGACAGTCCGATCGCAATGTGAGTTAGTCCGTGCTGACCCGCTGCATCTCGGTTTCATTCTGCAGGGCGATTTTAACACCGCCAACTCGGAGGTGGGGGCGGGGCGGGTGGGTCGGGCTGGGGATCGGCTCTGGGAACAAGTCTTCCGCAAGCTCACCGAGCTTGCTGCGGATGCTCCGACGTGTTGGCGCCAGGGGACCCGTTCGGAGGCCTGCGTCGACAGGACTTTTACGGCCACCACCCCGTGGATTCTCTGTGAGGGCCATCAGTCGGTTTCTAGGCTGGACGAGCCTCGTGAGCTGTTCCTGCGCGGTGTCAGTGACCATTGCCCTATCACAGTGGTCCTCTCAGCTCGCCAGCGTGGACCGCATGATCGCTGGCGCCCTCGCCCTCTCCCTCGGATGGTGGTCTCTGATCCCCTCTTCCCCAAGCTTGTGGCAGAGTATGAGAAGCTCGTCTGCTTTGAAGGCCTTGATGCCCCTGAGGCGCTCGATCTTGCCACTCGATGTCGGCAAGCCGCAGGCCTGGCGACCCGAGACCTGGTGCTGTCTCGCGACAGCCGTGCCATGATGTCTCGGGCCATGGTTTCCAGGACGTTGGCTCGGTGTGTTTCCCGCCAAGATGCGCGGCTTGCCAGGGCCGTCCTCGCTCGCCACAGCTGGGCGCGGCGGCATCTGGGCGCGTCGGCTCTCGGCGAGGTGTGGCTGCGGGACCCTGGGGCATTCCAGGACTTGCACTGCTCCTTGCAGCTTCAGGAGCGGCGCGCTTTTCGCGAGCGCCTCGAAGCCGAGGCGCGAGGGGAGCTCCGCCCTGGGATGCAGCAGCGAATTCGAGCGCGTCGTGCTGCGCTTGCGCGCCGCTCGCGGCTCTGGCGCCCCTTTGGGAGAAGGAAGTTCTTGGCGGGGGTGCTACCCTCCGGCTCTGCTGCGGCGACTTCGTCTCCCGATGGGGATGGCTCAGGCGTTGAATAGTCACTGGGCCCCCATTTTCGGTCAGGAGACCCCGATGCCGCATAATGAATCGAGATATGCTCCGAAGTTTTGCAATTCGTGTCTTGACTTTCGGGACCTTCCCCCTCCTTCCCCGGGCGCGATTTCTGGGTACCTGGCTCGTGTCTCCTCCTCGGCCCCTGGCCCTGACGGGCTTCCCTTCTCCTCCTGGCGCCATGGGGCGGGCCCGAAAATTATGCGCCAGGTGTTGCTTTGGGCGTTGCCTGGCCGTTTGATGCCGCCTGAATTTTGCGCCTCGCTCCAGGTCTTCATTCCGAAGCCGCTGCCTGGAGTCGACCCGTCAAAGGACGGGCTGGAGCCTGCTGCGAGCGACGCGCGGCCGCTCGGCTTGAAGAACAGCTCTAACAAGACCGTTGCTGCCGTGCTGACTCGGAGCCTGACTCGTGCGATGCAGGCCCTCACTGCCCCCTCTCAGCGCGGGCTCGTGCCTCGGCGGAACTTTCTCGATGATATCGTGGATTTGGACACGATGGCGAGGATCACTAGTGTCAGGCGCTGCGGGGATTCCACTCATGCCCCCTCCCTTCTCGCCTTCGATTTCTCCCAGGCCTTCCCCTCTGCGCGGCAGGAGTGGATGATCCTGAATGTGTCCCTGGCCCCGATCCCTCGCGGATTTAAGAAGGCGGTGACAGTGTTTTATTATTTAAACACGTGTTTCTCTGCCCAGGGGGACGAGCAGGTTTCCCTCTTCTGGATGCTGTCTGGCGCCCTCCAGGGGCGCCCGCTCTCGGGCTCGCTTTTTCTGTTCGCGGTCAACCCCTTCATTCGGGATTTGGGAATCTCCCTCACCCGTGTCAGTCGCGGGCTTGTCCGAGCGCGTGCAGATGACATCGGAGTTGTCGTCTGGCATCGTGATGGGTGGAGGCACCTCGGCAGAATCTTCGGTCTCGCCGATAAGCTTGGCGCGCTTGCTCTGAAGTGTCGAAAATGTGTTGCCATCCCGCTTTGGGCCGAGTTATCACCAGAAGTCCAGAAGCGGTTGGAGGAACTCCTTGCTTTTGCTTGCCCGTCCTGGACCGCGTTTAAGATTGCAAGCAAAACTGTGTACCTCGGCTGCCTCATAGGTCCTGATGTTGCCCCCCCGGATGCCTGGAGACCCCGGTCGGGAAGGCCATGGACAGGTGCTCCTCGTTGGGAGCCCCGCACGCTACCTCTCTCGACATGTGCCAGTCTCGGATCCAGACGGTGCTTAGTTACAAGATGCAGCTTTTTCCTCTCTCGTGGACGGAGTCCCAGATCGAACGACGCATGCTGGCCAGAATCTTCCGTGTGCTTTTCTCGATGTTCCGTCGGAGTGACTGGTTTCAGCTCAGGAGTTCTGGATGCCCCCCAGCCTGTCAGCGTGCTTGCCCAGAGTGCTGGGACATTGATGCGTTCAGCCCTGATCGCATGTGCAGCACCTGGCAGACGAATATTGCTTGACTTCGGACGGTCATGAGGGAGGAAGGGAGATTTGGGTGGTGGTGAGGATCCGTGCTGGCGCCTCCTTTGTGGAAGGCCCCTGCGATCGCGGGCTCGCTGGGGGAGGCGGCGCACGGTTGTCCCGAGCTCTGCGGTCTTGCGCGCAGGGGGCTCGGAGGCCTCGGCTCTTTTTCAGGATCCCCCTCCCCCTGACCCTGAGGAGCCGAGGAGAAGGCCGAGATGGCAGGCTCGGTTCGTTGATGTTTTCCAGCGTGCCCTCTTCTCGGCCCCTCCCCTCCATCCGCTCATCGCCCGCCGAGTGCGTAAACATGCTCGAGTTCGCATGCGTTTCTCCCCTGCCGATTGGCAGACCTTCCAGGGAGTTCTGACCCAGGCCCCGCCAGCGTGGTCGCATGTCGCTCTGCGCACTCTCCTTGGTGGGTGGCTGACGGGTGGGAGGATGCAACGAGCTGCGTGCTGTGTCCTGGGTTGTGAGGCCTGCCCAGACACGCTCGCTCACTATCTGAACTGCCCTCGGCTCTTGTATTGGGCGTCAGTGTGTCTTCGGTCCCCTTTTCCGTCTCATCCGATGTTCGTGCTCGGACTCAGAGGTGGCCAGCTCGCTTTTGTAGTTACCCTCTATCACTTTTTCCGTCTCTCCTCTCGCCTCGCCTCCTCCCTCCACCGCCCGATCACGCTCGAAGAAGCAGGACGATTGGTAGGCGCCACTCGTCTTGCTGCGCGTCTTCCTGCTGGGCGTCGGCAGCGAGCCCTCCTCGGCAGGCGCGCCCTTGCCGCCGCTGTCGTCGAGGCCCGCGGGTATCGCCGTGGCCTGCCGCTGCCATCGCTGCGGCCGCCACTGTATTTCGTGCGCGGCAGCAGCAGCAGCAGCAGCGGCAGCAACAGCAGCAGTAGTGACAGCAGTAGTTCAGGCATGTAGAGTGGACGGACTCCTCTGGGCACGCTCCACCTCCTCGTCTTCCTCCTCCTCCTCCTAACCGGCTCTTACTATCCGAGCTAATGGACCAAAGGATCGTACCTGGTATTGCTTACCCTGTTTATAAGCAAATCCCTGTTGGAGTCGGCTGCGGGTCTGAGATGACCCAGCACTTCCAGCCAGCAGGAAAGGGTGGCAGGCTCGATGTTCTGGGGTCGGGATACGGGTTTTGCTTGTTTCGGCCTCCAGGGGCCGTTTTCGGGCCCTGGGACCATCAACGACGGATCAGAGGTGAGACATTGCACCCGATGGACCCCAGGGGGGGGGGGGTCCAGGGAACGATTTTGAGCGGTTTTGGCCTCATCCCCCCTTCCTGGCTGTTTTTCTGGGGTCCTAACTAGTTCAAGCTTTCAGGCCGCGTCCCAAATCCGTGTTGCTTTGGACAGATATAAGCTTCATGAGTGGCGCACCTCACCCTGCAGGCATTTTGCTTGCGATTAAGATTCGCCGTCAGGTGCTGAGCTGCGCTTGGGCAACCGAGCGGTCCATCCCAGCGAAAGAATACAGTTTTTCGAACACGCTTTAAGGCTGGGCGTGTCTGCACCATGGCCATATAATCACGTCCAGTTTAATCAAGAAGCTGGCCAAATCAAACGATGTTGATAAGACCCTGTGTAGGGCAGGCGAATCAAACATTGACGACCTCGGCACAAGGAAATGGCCAGGGCACTCTGCCAAAACCAAAGCTTTCAATGCAGCGAGGGCGAGGCATGGCCACGAATACGCCTTTGCACGCGCGCGCGCACCTCAGTGCCAAAATTATCCAGCTCATCCTACTTATCCTTCTATCGTATGGCCCACCAAAATAGTAAGGCGCATTCGATCCTTTTTCAGTTTGGCAGACTCGAACTCGTTAGCTCGTGCTGCACTGCAGGCTGTCGAAATGTCCTTCGGCGGCACCCGTCGATGTCGGCAGCGTGGGCGATAATGAGGACACGACTTGCCCCCCCCCCTATGACGCTCCAACCTCATCTTCTGCTTCCTCCTCCTCATTATCCTTCTCTTCTTCCTCATCCTGATTCCTCCTTTCTTTTCTCTTCCTCCTCCTCCTCCTCCTCCTCATCCTCTTGCTTTTCCAACCTCCTCTTCCTCTTCCTCCTCCGTCCCCAGGGGACGGTCCCCTCCTGTTCTTCGTTTTCTTCCTCCTCCTCCTCATCGTCCTCCCCCTTCCAATTTCCTCCTCCTTCTTCTGGCCGACGCCCGCCACCCGAGCCAAACGGATCAGAGCCTCCTCCCTATCCACCTCCCCCCTCTTCCCCCTCTCTCTCACTCCATTTCCTCCCCTTCCTCCACTCCCTCCCTTCCATCCCCTTCCCTCCCATTCTCTTTCCCTTCCCTTCCATTCCTCCCCGTCCATGTTCTCTTTTTCCCTCCCTTCCTTCCCCCTGGATTCCCCTACTACCTCCTTTGCCCTCCCCCCTCCCCCAGGCCCACCCCCCCTCCTCCTCTATTTGCCTCGGAGGCGGCACGAGGAGGCCGAAACGCTGTACCGCCGGGCGCTCGACGGCTGCCACGAGGCATCCGGAGTTCCTCCCTCTCCCCCTTCTCTCCTGTCCACTCCTCTCCGCGAGGTTTTTGACGGTTTCGCATGTTTTTGTTGTGTCGGGCTCGTTTCTGTCATTTTCTTTCGGAGGCCTCTGGAGGCCTCCAAGGACCGTCGGAGACCTCTGGAGACTTTCGGAGACGACCCTTGGAGATTTTCGGAGACCCCCGAGGACCTCCAGAGAGGGTGGAAAGGAGGAGGAGGAGGAGGAGGAGGAGGAAGAGGAGGAGGCGGCGGGGGGGGGGGAGGAGGACTGTAGTGTAGTACAGATGCTCTTAAGTGTAGGCATAACCCTTTTGCTCCTTTCTGGAGCGTAGCTGCTGATGTCGGGGATCGGCCTGGGGAATGCGACGAGCCCCCCAGCGGCTGCAGACCTCCCGCCGCCGCGAGGGCCCCTCTGACACGCAACCGTCTGCCCTTACCGAGGTGACCACCTCGGCGCTCCCCCTAGCTTCCCTGATTTTGCCAGGGTGGGAGCGGGCAGAAGGCCGAGCAAGTCCAGCACCAATGGCTAGAGCCAAAGTGGTGCCGAAGGCCGCGCTCGGCATGGAAGGGCGTGCCGGCCCATCCGTTATTATCTGCTGGGTGTGGACCTACTCTAAAATATTTTAGAATAGGTCCTCAGTCGAGTGCCCCGCCAAATTGTTACATCCTCATGAGCTTAACAGTTTTAACTCCGTTTCATGTGGTGCGGTGCGAGAAGCATTGCAAAGCACGACATTGAGCTCTGGGCCCAGGCCCGTAACCCCATGTGTTAACTTTTGGCCGGTGCCCTTTTTTCGGCCCCAAGCGGCCGCCAAAAGGGCACAGATGTTTGTTGGCCAGGGAACTCTGGCCGGTGACCTCCGACGGCTTCCGGCGACCTCAAAAAGGTCACCAGCGGCCGGGTCGCCAGCAGCAGCGCGACGCAAGTATTGTACATGCGTGCATCCTTGCGCCTCTCAGGGGAATGCGGTGCGCCTCTACGCCCGCATGAACCTGGGAGGGAGGGAGGTCATCCAAATGCAGTGCGACACTACGCCTGCATGCGGATGCCTCCCAGTAGTTTTGTGGCGCTGCCGATTGGCTCAAGTGCGCGGTGGAGGAAACAAAAACACATCCCCTCTTCCCGCATGGGGGCTCGCGGCGGCCGACCCTCCCGGGGAGGCCGCAGCAGGGCGTCCCGTAACTGGTCCCTGGAGGTGAGGTTGGCCGAGACTGCCGACTACCCTCTCAGGGCCGTCCTCGGCGTGGCCCCGAGGCCCCATTGGGGGCCTCTCTGGCTGCTCCCAGCCTCCCGGGAGGAAGTTGTGGCCTACTTGAGGGCCATCGCAGGGGCCCCAGGGGCTCCAGAAACCGACCCAGAGTCGGAAATCAGTGAAGACGACGTCGGAGGACAGTCGAGCCCTATTCAAGGAGAGGGAAGCAGGGAACAGTTGGGAGTGGAGCAAGGAGGAGGACGGCAACAGAAAGAAGCGGGGGAGAGAGTAGAAGGCATGGAAGACAGAGTTGGCGAATGACGGTCGCAGCGGTGGGAGAGTGGGTCACGGGACGGCGCGCCGCTTGGGGGGGGGTGCGGGCTGCCGGGGCCGCAGCCAAAGAGATGGACGTGGGTAGACGGAGTTTGCGCAATCAAGCGTGAGGACAGGCATCTGTCCCCGCCGCGTGGCCGATAGCCTGCTTACCCAGAGGATGCGCCGGCTCCTGTGAGGACAGTCGATCGTGGCAGGGTCTTTTCTGGCACCTTGCTGGCGACGTCGCTGCGGCAGCTAACGAAAACAAAACGAAGCCCATAGCTGTGGTCGTACCACCGCAAATGTGACTGATGTTTGCACGAGGGCTGGGCGGGGGAAGATAGGGGGAGGGAAGAGAGCTACGGTTCAAGCAAAGCCAATATCGGCATATATTATTCCAAGTGGGTAATGCGAAATGTGCAGAGCTTGCTTCCGATGGTTCAGCACTAGTTGGGTGAGGGCCTCGTTGTGGCCTCTGAACGGGCTGCTGGTCGGTACAGGTTTCGGGGAACCCCTGGCGAAGCCCAGACAAACTCGGCGCGCCCACCTGCTGCGCTTCCATGCCCAACTGTGCTCTCGGATCGGGTCGCGCGGCCAGCGGTCTGGCGCCGGGGGGGAGGCAGCGCGTGGGGGAGGGGGGGGGAGGGACTGGTAGCGCTCGACGCGCCGCGCCAATACCTACCTGTGACAAAGCCCTCCTCCCTGAGCGATTTGTCGAAAGTCGACCACATTGCTTTGGAGGGGGCTAGTTTGGGAAACTCCAACTAACAGTCGCACAAACGTTCGAAAGCTGCTGAAGACCTTCCATTGAGTGTACATATCAGAAGACAGCGCGAACAGTTGCGTTGCGTTGCGCCCGATCGAACAAGTCGGCCCTGTGCAGAGCTCGGGAGAAAGAACAAAAATGCGCCGTCAGAGCTGCACGTCGTCAAACCAACGACGCCGCGGCCGGCCTCTGGCACGATGCGGCCGGCTGTTGTTCAGCGCCGCGCCGCGAACAGTTGCGACTAACTCCAGAACTCTCCTCCGCCTTCCCCTCCTCCTGCACCCTCCCCCTTATCTGGCGCCCCCTTCCCCCTCTCCTTGTCCTCATCCGCTCCCTGTGCTCTCCCCCTTCCCCCCCCCCTCCCTCACCCCATCGGGCTCGAAGATAGCCGCGAAGATGGCAGGGGCGGCTCCTCACTGGGTGCGAAGGCACAGCCAAGACGCTGAAGCAAGGAACAGTTTGGGTCAGGAAGGGGTTCGATGTTCCCTAGGTCCCTACATGGCTGCTCCTCTAGCCCGCCACGTGCATCCAGGCTCTCCTGGTGCCAGAAAGGGGCCTCGTCCTTCATCTGGGCGGCGCAAAGAAAACGGGGTCGTCTGCGCCGACCTTGGCGCGCGAGCTGCCCGCGTAGGGCCGCGCGTCAGCGCCCCCGTTTCCATCGTGACGTGCCGCGCTGGCGGCCCGCGAAAGCCACCGCGTAAGGTCGCTGTGCCATCTCGCGTCAGATCCGCTTCTCTTCGTCGCCCATGTGTGTTATATCCATACGACATGCACACATACATGCATGCATACGTACGTGCTCACTTACTTACTTACTTACTTACTTGCTTGCTTGCTTGCTTGCTTGCTTGCTTACTTACTTACTTACTTACTTACTTACTTACTTACTTACTTACTTACTTACTTACTTACATACATACATACATACATGCATGCAAACACACATACACCATATACGTACACACATGCATACATACGTACATGCGTCATCTCGCGTAAGACCCGGTTTTGATCGTCGCTCGCCTGGCGTTCCTTATCGCAGCAGCCTGGCTGCAGCGGCGCGAGGGCGCGCCCGCGCCTCGCGCTCCGCGGCCTGGGCCGCAGAGAGCCCTCCCTCTCCAGGGCACGGCGCGGGAGGGCGCCACGAGTGCCGCGAACACCGCGCCTCGGCGCGGCGCGAAGCACCTGGCTCGGATGCCCTGGAGGTCCCTCCCCTCTCCCTCCTCCTCCTCCGCCTCTCATCGTCCTCGTCCTCCTCCTGCTCCTCCTCCTCCTCCTCCTTCTACTCACTCATCGTCATCGTCATCGTCATCATCATCATCATCATCATCATCATCATCATCATCATCATCATCATCATCATCATCATCATCATCATCATTATCATCATCATCATCATCATCATCATCATCATCATCATCATCATCATCATCATCATCATCATCATCATCATCATCATCCTCACCATCATCATCGATCCCCCTCCCTTTCTCCCCCTCCTCCCCCTCCATTCTTATCCCCCCCTGACGTTGCCCCTGAGATTCCTTCCCCGCCGCCCGTGCCCTCGAGCCGCCTGTACTGGTGCCGCCTCGTGAGCGCGCGGCTGCGTGCTCTGGCGCGCGCACTTGGCCTGAGAGAGACGGTCGGCCCCCCCCCTCCACAGAGTGAGGGAGCGTGCCTCCTCCTCCTCCTCCTCCTCCTCCTCCTCCTCTTCTTCCTCCTCCTCCTCCCCGTCCTTTCTTTCTCGTCCTCCTCCTCCTCCCCTCCTCCCTCCCCTCCTCCTCCTCCTCCTCCTCCTCCTCCTCCTCCTCCTCCTCCTCCTCCTCCTCTCCTCCTCCTCCTCCTCTCCTCCTCCATCCGAGCTGGAAGCCGAACACAACAGTCATACCATGCACTCCGCCCCCTCCCTGTCAGCATCACCTCTCCTCTTCCATCATCCCTCCCCCCTTCCCCTCCCTGCCTCGCTTCCTCCCTGCACTCCCCCCCGCCCCCTCCTTCCTTCCCTCCCCTCCCTCCTCCTCCTCCTCCTCCTCCTCCTCCTCCTCCTCCTCCTCCTCATCCTCCTCATCCTCGATCTGCCTCCCTTCCTCTTCCTCCTCCTCCTCCTCCTCCTCCTCCTCCTCCTCCTCCTCAACATATCTCCCCTCCTCCTTGACCGCAGCGAGGCGCTGGGGCCGATGCACCCGGACACCCTAGGCTGCGCCGACGGCCTGGCGCGCGCGCTGGAGGCGACGGGTCCAAGCCGCCGTCGCCGGGGCTTCGCCGTCGACGGCTGCGGCCACACGACGCGAAGCGATGCCTGACACGAGCATGCAGAAGCAACATCTGCCAAAGTGTGCCTGGCAGAAGCAGGAGGGACAGGTGCGGAGAAATCGTGGCCCCCCCTCTCCTTAGGCATGTGAGACACAGCCGTCGCTGCTGTCGCCGCCGCTAACGCCGCAGCCGCCGTTGTCGTCGTCGTCGTCGACGGAGGATCCATGCTCAAGGACAAAGGATTAAAGGTTTTTGGACGTTTTGCCTTTTTAAGCTCTGGAGGCATCCTCCTGTCGTCGCCGCCGTCGTCGTCGAAAAGGAAGGGGGCTAATGAGGAGGAGGCGGCGGAGGAGAAGGAGGGGTAGGGGGAAGAGAAGGAAGGGGATACTAATAATGATGATGCTGCTGATGATGCTGATGATGATGATCATGATAATGATGATGATCATGATGGTGATGATGATGATGATGATGATGCTGATGATGATTATGATGATGGTGATGATGATGATGATCCTTATCATGATGATGATGGTGATCATGATTATGATGTTGATGCTGATGCTGATGGTGGTGATGATGATGATGATGTTGATGCTGATGATTATGCTGATGATGGAGATAAAAACTATGATGATGATGATGATGATGATGATGATGATGATGATGATCCTGATGATCCTGATGATGCTGATGATGCTTATGATGATGTTGCTGATTATTATGACGATGATGGCGATGATGGTGATGATGACAATGATGCTGATGATGCTGATGATGATGATGGTGATGATGAGGAGGAGGAGGATGCTGATGATGATGGTGATGGTGATGGTGGTGGTGGTGATAATGCTGATGGTGATGCTGATGACGATGATGATATCGAGGATGATAAAGAAGAGGAGGAGGAGGAGGAGAGTGAGCAGGAGGAGGAGAACAAGAGAACCCCCCCAGGATGCATCGACGATGCTGTAACACACCCTCCCCCTCTCATGACCACTCCTCATCAGCCCCTACACGGTCTCTCTTTCACTACGACAAGCGCTTCCGTGAAGGACAAGTGCCCCTTGGCCATGGGCCTTCATTCGGGCGAGAGCTCCGTTTTGAAAAGGATCTGACCTTCATTTTTTTAGGTGTAAGACATGCCAAGAGGCTGGGTCAAAAGGTCGAAGGTCGAAGAAGTGTCTGGCGAGAGCCCCGTTTGGAAAGTTGTCCGCCCTCCTAATCCATGTACGATTGACGACGACGGACGACGAACGATGGACGACGGACGACGGACGACAGACGACAGACGAGGGAGGACGGAGGACGGACGACAACGACAGACGACCGACGACGACGACGACGACGACACGACGCAACGACGACGACGATGACGACGACCACGATGACAACAATGACAACGGCAATGACAACGCCAATGACATCGATAACGACGACGACGACGACGACGACGACGACGACGACGACGACGACGACGACGCAACGACGCAACGACGCAACGACGCAGCCACGACGACGGCACGACAGGTGATGGCGGCGGCGGCGGCGACGGGCGGCGGACGACGTGCAGCGGCGGGCGCCCGAGCGCCCGCCCCGAGAGGCGGCGGGCCGCCCGCGGGAGGCGGAGCCGTTCTCGAGGCAGGCCGCCGACGGGCGGCGGCCTCGGCCGCTGCCCGACTAGGGGGCCCCCATCAGTAAGGAAGCGGGGAGGAGGAGGAGGAGGAGGAGGAGGAGGAGGAGGAGGAGGAGGAGGAGGAGGAGGAGGAGGAGGGCCCCCCCAGGCGGTTGCCAGCCTGGAGCGCACCGTCAGCCCGCACAGGAAGGGTGGGCGACCTTCCCCCAAGGGTACCTTGGCATCCTGGCCTCCTCGGCCCATCCTTGGCCGCCTTCGCTGGCCGCGCCCCGCTCGCAGAGTGTCGACATGGCCTTGCAAGGCCCTTGCACCCTTGCCGCGTATCCTTGTGCTACGGGCTGACTGACCCCTGTCCTGTCGCGTGTCCTGTGCAAGGAATTCTGCCTGCGCCGCGCCTCTTTGCTATCGGCCTTGCCATGCTCTGTCTGCTCCCGCCCGCGTGCGCTGTGCGGCGGCCGGGGCCCGCAGCCGCAGCCGACGGCCGCGCCTGTCCTCTCCTCTGGCGGTCCCTCTGGCACCAGAGCGGGCGGCCGTCCGGCGCGCTCCCGCGCCCCCGTCGGGCTCGGACGACCGTCCAGAGCGTCGCTGCGCGCGCCAGCCGAGGGGAAGCAGGAGCATAAGTCAGAGGAGGAAGACAAGGGCGCCACCGCTGGATTCGCCTCGAGATTCTGGTAAGACCGTACCCCGGGAGAGGTCCGGGGAGTAACAGTATCGGTGCGGTTGGGTTTCCCCAACACGCGCATGAGTCCACGTTGGTTTCGAGAGCACGCATCGCGCGGGCGCTTGTAGCACGAGGCTGGTCTCGCGGACTGGGCGGCCGTACTCATGGACGTGGTGGGGCGTCCACGTCCCTTGCGGGCTCCTTAGGAGTAAGTCGGGCCTGTCCCTCTACAGGGGGAATATTCCAAAATAGTCAGAAAATAGTCGGGGGACGATTTTCCTACCATTTTTGAACATTCCCGGGTCTTTTTGGAGTGTTTGTTTCATGTTTCGTCCCAAGATCCGCCTCTAAGGGGACACGCCAGGCCTAACCTTAGGCAAAGGCGACTGCCCCGTCGTCTCGGGGCCATCATTTGGGGGGCACGCCGCTACTCGGGCACCGGCCGAGCACGTCGGCCGACGTCCATCACGGCGGAGGCGCCCTGGTCAGCGTTGCGGTGGAGCGCATCGTTTACAGGCGGCCCAGATTAGTAGGTCGACCCTGCCAGATCAAGGGTACCCTTGTGTCCTGTGTCTCGCGACCCATGCTTCGTACATTCCTGTGGCGATGTGGCCCTCGAAAGGGTCTTGTGTCCTCTCGCGTGTCCTCTCCAATCAAGCCCGTCTGTACTCGCCGTGTGATACCCGACCTCGAGCACAGCTTCCAGGTCGGTTTGGGAGGTCGCCGCGGCGATCGCGGCGGCCACAGATCGTGGCAAGGCTTTTGTCAAGGCGTGGCCCGCCCCCCCCCGCTCTGCGATGTAGACGCGGCCCATGACCAACGATACAGCTACAGAGAGTTGTCAGTTCATGTCCAACATGGGCAGTCGCATTTTGTTTGGTCAGGGGTCGACTGTCACCCAACCACGTTCGGTCAGACTTGGGGGGGGGGCCCAAAAAACTGTCCCGTTCCCCCCGCGCCCTCCGCCCCGAACGCCGCCGACGTTGAGCCCTGCGTTTTCTCGCGCACGTGTCGGCTCCCCCCCTGTTCTGAGACCTGCCCGGCTCAGCCTTGTGCTGAGGCTTGCTTGTCCTCCGCCTCCTCTTCCTTCTCCTCCTCCTCCTCCTCCTCCTCCTCCTCCTCCTCCTCCTCCTCCTCCTCCTCCACCTCCACCTCTTCCTCCTCCTCCAGAAGCCTGCTCGCAATGGGGTGCTGGAGGGTTCCGACGGCCACCACACGGTCCCGGACTGATTTCAGCTTCGCCCAGGCAGAGAGAGGCTGCTGGAATCGAGGCCTCCCAAACGGGGACCGAGCAGATGGGGTCGGAGGATCGCGCCGCATCGCTGATGCATCGACGATGCGGTTCGATGTGTAGCCGCTAGCCCGATTTTCTCCACGCCGGCGGCGCCGATGCATCGGCGATGCATTGGCGATGCGGCGTGATCCTCCGACCCCATCTTCTCGGACCCCCATCAGGGAGTCCTCCACGGAAGGACCAGGAAAAGGAGCCCCCCATTGGCGCGCCACGAGCCACTTTCGCCATCACGTGGGCCAGGCAGGCCCAGAGGCGGGTGGCGCCACTCGTCGGTGCACGGCGAGACACGGCTGCGGGGCGACTCTGCTCCTTCAGGCCACGCGCCGCCGAGGGCCGACAGGCCTTGTTCGGAGGAGGGAGGAGGCAGTCGAGCGACATGTGCAGTGCCAGTCCTGCTTCAGGAGAACAGGGGGCTCGTGCACCACGGGGAGAGCCCCATCTTGCCTGCCAGCCTCCGGCGGCTTGGCAGCGACGTGGCGCCCCGCTTCGAGCCGTCCCCTTGGCCTACCAGCCCCGTTGGCGATACGCAAGCTCCGACGGTGACCTTCGAAACGGGAGAGAGAATTCGGGTGTGCGTGAGAGTGACCTGTCGCCAGAGTGATCTTCCGTGCGGGCACACCGGGGCCCCCAGATGGCTTATGCGATGCGATGGCAGCAGCTTGCGCGCTCCCGTTCGGCCTTCCCGCGGCCCCTGAAAGTCGCGCACCAGTGGTCACTCTTGTCTCTGGGGTCACTCGTGGCGTGCAGCCGAAGGATGGGCACCGCAGCTCGCCCCCGTCCACGGCTGGAGCAACAGCGGCCATGGAGGCCGTGCATCTCATGCGGGGGCGTGTCTTCGACGCACGGGCGGGCACGCGTGTGCGACCGCGGCGGCGAGAGCGGGGAACACAGGGGCCTCCGGGGCCACAGAGCCAGCCGAAGCTGGCGCGGACTCCCGAAGCGCTGGCACCAGCGCCCCGAGACAGCATGGGGATTTGCCATTCGCCATGGAGGGAGACGGATCCTGAGGTTTTTCGCCGTTTTCGGGCCCTCGGGACCCCCCACGGGCCCCAGGACTGTCGGAAAACGAGTCGGGATGAAGAAGTCGTCCTGGGGGAAGGCTCTGGGGTCCAGGACCCGTTTCCCTCAGGACCCGTTTCCCCCATGCTAAACCATTCTTCGGCCGGCGCCCGCATGAACTCCGCACGAGAATTTCTACTTTTCGGTGGCTGTGCCCAGGTTGAGGTAGAAGGCCGGCGCCATCGCACTTCAGGCATCCCCTCCCCGATTCGTGCCTGGACCCCCCGCCCCCCGGCTGGATTTCTCTTCTTCCTTCCGCGGGGGGACCCTCCTCGCGGCGACCCGTTCAACTGTGGACCCCTGGCGGCGCGGGGACTTCTTTCATTCGTCGACTTCTTTCATTCTTTCATTCGTCGGCCTCGAGAGCAGGACTCGAGCTAAACGCTGCTTTGGCGATTTCGTGGACCGTTTTCGTTTTGATTTCGTTTCGCAGCAACGGCATACCGAAGACAGAACGCAGGACACCGAAGACAACACGGACTTGAAAAGACCGCTCGGCTCGAGCCCTGCTCGCGAGAGAGAGCCGGAGGATCTTGGCTGAAGGTCGGGCGGGGGGGGCGGCGGTGCCGGCCGGCGCGTCCTCCGAGGCGGCAGCTCCTCCTGGGCGTGGACCACCCGGAGGGGCAGGGAGGGGAGGGCGATCGTCGACCAAACTGCAAGCCTACGAGCGGGCCGCCATTGAAGAGTACCTCGGGCGAGTCGTGGCGAAGCCGAGGACCTGACAATAGGGGACGCCCATTGCTCGGCGCGCACCCCGGCTCCCAGCCTGTTGCGGGGGGTGCTGGAGGGGGGCCCGCCCTGCCTGGCAGCCCCCCGAAAGCTTCGAGGGAAGGGAGGGGGGAGGGGGGGGCGTTGCGTCATGGGGGGGCGGGGGGCGGCGACGAACGCAGGGGTGAAGAAAGGTGCGCTTTTCGCACATTTGCGGGGCCCCGAAGGGGTCCTGAGGGGGGCCCCCCGGCGCCCGAAAGGTGCACGAGAGGCGCACGTGTCTTCGCCCCTTTATCCATCGCCCAACGAGGTGGAGGAGGCGAGGCGAGGGTGGAGGTGAGAAGGGGAAGGGGCGAGAGGTGGGGTGCTGTCTCCTACTCCACCTCGTCATCCTCCTCCTCTTCTCCTCTTCCTCCTCCTCTTCCTCCTCCTCTTCCTCCTCCTCTTCCTCTTCCTTCTCCCTTACGCGCATCTCCTCCTCCTCCTCCTCCTCCTTCCTCCTCCTCCTTCTCCTCCTCGCTCCTCCTCCTCCTCCTCCTCCTCCTTGGTCCTTGCTTCGCTGACTCCGCGAGATTTGTTTGCCTTCTTGCTCCTCCTTTCCTCCTCCTCCTCCTCCTTCTCCTCCTCCTCCTCCTCCTTGTCTTCCTCCTCCTCCTCCTCCTCCTCCTCCTCCCATTCCTCCGTCGTCTCCCCCGCCTCCTCATCCTCGCGGCGAAACGAAGCGCGGGTTTCAGCTGAAGGCCGCGCCTGCGACCGCGGGCAGCCTATCCCCTCTGGGGGGGGGTGCGGCGGAGGACGAAGCGGAGCAAGAGGTGGTCTGGTTCTCGGGCGCTTCCAACTCTTGCCAAAGCTGAAGCAGCGCGCTGAATGGGAAGAGATCGCCCATGAAAATATTGCGCTCTGCTCTACTGCCCTGCTACTGCTGCCCCGCCCGACAGGGCGGGCAAATCCTGCCCCCCCTCGATGGCTTTTGGGTTTAGATTTTGTGGCAGCGAGGCGCTGCTAGGCTACGCGATGCGTTGCAACGCAGCAACAGGCAACGTAAAGTGCTGAAGAAGGCTCCAAGAGGCTCCCAACTTTTTGCCGCATGTATGCAGCGTTAAGTGCAGCAAGTGCGTCAGCGTACGAAGAAGTCACCAACAGCCCCCCCCCCCCACATCTTGCTGCACTTAGGCAGCGCCACGCGCAGCAAGTGCGTCTGCGTGCCGAGTGACACTTAGGAACGCGATGCAACACACTGGATGGAACAACGTAAGATTGACATTGCTGGGACCTCACGTGTACTGCCGCATGCTGCCGAAGCTGTTATCCCACTTAGTGGGATTGTTAGCCTAGTGCGCGCTCTGTGCTGGAGCCCGCGCCTGCGAAGCTCCCCGCCTGCGGGCGCGCAGATGCAGCCTCGACTGAGGACGGGCCAGGCGAGGTCCCCACCTGGAGAAGAACAGGAAACATGGAGTGACGGTGCGGGCAGCGACCTAGCCTAAACAGGTGCGGCGCTAAGGATGCCAAGAATCCTGCCGCAATGTTGAGTCGGGCTAGCCGAAGCAACGGACCGCGAGCTAGTTAGGTATGCTATGCATAGCCTTAGCCCACAGTCCTAGCAGAATTCCTGGGATATTGCCTAACAGCGCGCGGCCTGTAATCCTGGAACTCCAGCCCTGTTTGTTGAGCCGGTCTGGCCGAAACAGCGGGCCGCAGGCTAGTTGGGTATGCTGTGCATAGCCTTAGCCCACAGCCTTGGCAGAGTTCCAGTGACGACGGCCATATCCTAAACAGATGCGGCGCTGCGGGTATCAGGAATCCTGCCGTGAGTGTTGAGTCGGGCTGGCCGAAACAACGAACCGCGAGCTAGTTGGGCATGCTATGCATAGCCTTAGCCCACCGTCCCGACATAATTCGTAATGTCCTAGAGACGGGGAATGAAAAGGCAGTGGAGCGGGCCAGCTGGGGGTTGGGCGGAGTAGTGGCCAAGCGAGGAGGGGAGAGGAGGAGGAGAAGGAGGAGGAGGAGGGGGCAGGAGGAACCAGTCCTGCAGTCTGTGATTATGCTTGGCCCCCCGCTCCCCGCTGAGGGACCTTGGTCCTGGCTTACGCCAGTCGTGCAGCAGTCCTGGCTAAGGCCATTCGTGCGGACGCCTGCCGAATCAGGCCTTTGTCGCCCCGACCCCCACTCTCTGACCTTCGTGGTCGGGGTGCTCGTCGGGCCCAGGATGGGCCCTTAAAGGCCGCCCCGTGCGTCCCCGACCACCTCGAGTACCAGGGAGGCTGGGGGGTCTTCGGCACAGGGTGGGAGGAGGATGGAGGATGAGGCGGGGGAGGAGGAGGAAGAGGAGGAGGAGGAGGAGGAGGAGGAGGAGGAGGAGCCCTGGGGAGACAGCAGGGGAGCGGAGGGAGGAGGAGAGAGGAGGAGGAGGAGGAGGAGGGAGCCCAGGGGCAGGGGTGAGGAGGAGGAGGAGGA